TCTATTAATATTTAATTAATTGCTTTTTATATAATAAAATATAAATATGAATGAAATATTCAATTATACAAATTATAATAATAATAAAAGATAAACTAAAAAGAACAAAACTACCATAGACATATTCTGTTCTTACATATTTTTGATGGTTATAACACTTGTTCATAATTTTATTGTTATTTATATTATCATATCATAATTTTAGTCTTTTCTTTATGAAGCATAAAAACTTTTTGATAACATTTGGTTTTTATTTTAAAGATATACCTATCTTCAAAAAAGCTATTCTGAATAAAAAGAAAGATAAAAAAGAATAGAGATAAACTCATGAAAATCTAAAAAAGAATGAGGAATTTTTTTATAATAAATAAAATTAATAAAACTACTATTTTACAACTTTTTTAATGAAAAACTGAAACCGAATTAAAAACTTAAAAAGCAATAAAAATCAGAAAAAAATGGATTTCAAAGGTAATAATAAAACAGAACCAATTTATCCACCAATTCAAAATACAGAAAATGAGACTAAAGAACTTCCAGAGATAACAAATTCATTAGAAAATGTACAAGAAGGTACTAAACAAACACAACAAAAAAATTTTAGTTTTGAAGATGAAACAAAAAAAGAAGAAGAAGAAATAAGTAAAGAATATACATTAGAAAATGAAGAATATAATGAAGAAACTAAAAAAATAGAAGGAAATGATTTATTATTTACAGGAAGTTCTATCAAACCAAATTCTACCGAAGTTAGCTCAATTATTTATCCACCATCAATTCAAGATAAAATCAATACAAAAGAAGAAAAAACAGAAAAAAAGAAAAATCAAAATAATAAATTAAAAAATGAATGGAAAAAATTAAAGAAGAGTTTAGATTCACACCAAAAAAAGATTATTGATGCTTATATTGATTATAAAGTTGAAAAAAAAGTTAATAAAATTATACAACAACCACAAAAAGATGATACTTTTAATCAGTTTGAAATATCTAAAAAAAATTTCGAAGTTAATGAAAAAAAAATAAAACATTTTATTAAACAACAACAAAAAGATATGAAACATTTTATTCAAAAACAAATTTCATATCAAAGTATGATGTATCAATATCCTTATTATTATTATCCTTATTGTTATTATCCTCAACCTTATAATATAAATGGTGATTCTCCTTATTTCTTCAATCAATTTAATTCAATTGAACAGCCACTATCTTATAATCATCAATATTGTTATGGTAAAACTTGTTCTTGTGTAACCCAAAAAAATCAACAACATACACCAACACATCAATTTTCATCAGCTCCTATTCAGAATGAAGTTGAACAAACACTTCACCAATCATCTGTCCATTCTTCTTCTTCTTCTCAAAGCATTAACTCAGACAAAAAATTGGAAAGTCAAACCAAACAAGAAATTGAAAATTTATTTCCTCACTCCTCCTTTTCAAGTACCACAAATCCAACAGCCTAATTTAGGCTATTCTTGCTATCCACAAGTTAGTAACCAACAGCCTTGTAGTAATATTGGTCAACCCCAATATTCACAACTCTTTCAGTAATAATCTCCAATATAATAACAATAAACTAATTGAGTCGAATATTCATATATTCATTTTAATGTCTCTTTTATGACGTTTTGATCTTTTAAATAACAAAAGAGAGTACAAATTAATAAAAATTCAAAAAAATTTTTTAATTCGAAAACATTAAATAGTAAAAATTTCAAAAATCAGAATTAATAAACATTTATTTAATTAATTGTGCTAATATATTTTTTATCTTCAAAATTTCTCTGTAAATCATTGATTGTATTTTCGAGACAACTAAGGGTATCATTAATTTTGTCTTTATCAAGACTACCTAATCCAAACAATTCCATATCATGGATAATATCATCTTTTTCTTTGTTAATAATAGAACAACACTCTATAAATCTTTTACGTAATTTTGTTTGTTCATTTTGATGTTGTGAAATTATTTGATTTAAAACCATTTGTTTAAGTCTATCTACAATTTCTTCATAATTTTCTTCAGTAATAATCAATTCAGTTTCATCATTATCTTCAGTTGTCCTTTCATCATCACTTGATAAATCTGGATGTTCTTCGTCTGTTTCGTTATGACAATCAGAATCACTCTCATCATAATCATCATCACTTAAACCTCCTGAATTTTTCCTACCAGGAAAAGACATAGAATAACCATGAAAGTCTTTACCCATACTATATAAGGATTCCCTAATATTTCCACTTTCAGAAAAACGGTAGGGTATTGTTTCAAATGATTTTTTGTTTAGGGGGTTGTCTGAAAGATGTTTTGGAGTGGTAATTGGTTTCTTGCTTTTCATTTTTCTAAATTCCTGTTTTTCTATTCACTTTTTAATTTTCGGTTTTTTCAATTAATCAAAATTAAATAATTTTTTTTTATTTGTCTAATTAAGAAAAAAAGTCGTGACAATTCAAAGAATAGTATCCTTAAATAAGTAAAGACATTCTAGAAGATAAAACTAAAATCGTACACAATTAGTAGCTTCGAAATACTTTTCGGGATCGAACTTGAAATAAACTAACAGATGTCAAGTTCTTTTCCGAACGAGCCTTCTACTGATCATCAAGAAACTGCAGTATTAGTTGATGAAAATGAGAAAGTTGATAATTCAGAAACATTGCCCCCTCTCAATTCTGACTCAAGTGATATCGAAGAAAATTTAAAAGAAATAGAAGAAGAACAAGAGATAGTGTCTAAATCAGTTAATGTACATACTATATCACCTTTACAAACATTTGGAATTTTAATTAATTATATTGTAGGTACTGGAGTATTTGGATTACCTTATGCCTTTGAAAATGCTGGACTTGGATTATCTTTAGTAACAACATTATTTTTTTATTTAATGAGTATTGTTACAGCTATATGGGTTCTTGAAAATATGGCTCGTTCAAGTGGAGTTATGGAAACTTATAGAAGAAGTAGAAATGCCCAACGACCTCAAAATGAAATAGAATATGAAGTTTATAATTATACTAGAATGTCTGCAATATTTTTTGGTAAAGGAGGTAAAATGACCTCAATTATTATTTTATCATTCTTTTGTTATGGTGCTTTATGGGCATATTCCAGTGTATTCAGTTCTTCAGTAACAATGATATTATGGAAATACCCATTAAGTAAGTTTGGTGAATGTTCAATTGTAATGGGAGATTGGGATCTTTTTGGACCATGTCATTTGACTTACTTATCTGGAATAGTATTGTTTGCATTAATTGTTATTCCATTGTCATTAATGGGAGTAGCTGAACAAGCAATTTTACAAAACATATTAACATGTTGGAGATTTTTCTGTTTTGGAGTAATGGCTTTAACGTGTATAATTCATATCATTTATAATTCAGTAAAAGGTACTTATGAAGTCATTCCACCATCAAAATCAACATTAACTTTCTTCATGGATATTGGAGGATTTGGAACTTTGTTTAGTTCTTGTAGTGTGGCATTGGCATGTCATCAAAATTTACCAGATGTTGTGACTCCAACAAAACCAAAAAATCATCTTAGAAGAATTGTTGTATTAGGAATTACTACTGCAACAATTTTATATGTAATTATTGGATTCGCTTGTTCATTTTGTTTTGGAGATGCAACAAGAACACCTGTAACTCATAATTGGTTAGGTTTTACTGGATGTAATGGTGGATTTGGAGTATGTGATGATGGTAGTTCTGCAAAATGGTATGGGGTAGTTGTTCAATGGGTGATATTATTATTCCCAGCAATTAACTTAACTTCAGAATATCCATTAGTTTGTGTAACATTATCTTCTAATTTACTTCAAATGATTCCAAAACAATGGAAAGAAAAAAATCCTAAAATATGGTTATATTCTAGTCGTTTAGTTGCAGCTGTTCCTCCTCTAATTGCTGGTGCAATTAAAGGAGATTTAGAAGTTATTTTCAATTTTGCAGGAATTTTTGGATTCTTTTTATTATTCATTATCCCAGGAGTATTACAAATATATAGTAAATTTATTATTAGAAGAAAATGGGGAAGTAAAACATATGTCACTTCATTTAGTGGGAAATATTCATCATCATATTGGGCATGGCCAATTTTGATAATTGCTATTATATGTTTTTCATTTGCATTAGTTCAATTTGTTGCTGATGTAATTGGACTAAGATGGTTCTAATAACAGAAGAATATTATTTCTAATTGAAATATCAATATTTAAGTATTATTTAAAATATATTTTTTAAAATTTAAATCAAAAAAGAAATTATCAAAGAACTGAGTATTAAATTTTGTTAAATAATCTATGCAAGAAATTAATTTCTTCCTTTCTTCTATAAGAGAATTTTATATGGACTGTGACAGTGTCACAAAGGATATTAAACGACTTCAAATTAAATATCCTAAATTAAAAATTGGTATTACTTTATCTAAATATTCTTCACATCAATACATTTCTTTGGAAGGTTTCCTTCCAATTGTTTATGAAAGAAAAGTGTTTGGAGTTCCAATGTTAATAGCATTTACTTATAATTATCCATTATCTCCTCCTGAATTATCTTGTTTTATCTCTCAAGGAATGGAAATTGTAAAAAGTCATCCTTTAGTAAAAGAAGATGGTTTTATCCAAAATATACAACAACAATGGAATAGTTCAACAGATTTATTGTTATTACTTGAACGACTATTAGCATTTTTTGGTTCAATACCTCCTGTTCGTAAAAATGCTCAACTATCCCCTTTTCCTCATTCTAAATCAAATTCACTCACTCCAAATCCAACCACATCTTATCAACAATACCTTACTCAACAATCAAACTTATTATACTCAACAAATAACCCAACTTATCAACAACAGATGTCTTCAACTACTCAATATTACCCTTACCAAAACCAATATCCTTCATACCAAAATATACATAATCCTTATTTACCATATTATCACCCACAATATACTCCAAACCAATACCCCTCTCTATCAAACCCCTTGTTATCTCCACAGTCTTCTACATTTATAACATCTCAACAATACCAAAATGAGATTAGATCAGGTACCAAAATTTCTAATACTAATATAACAGATTATTACGTACAAGACTATGACCATAGCAAAGAAAAGACATTGACAAATCCATCAGAATTACAACAACAAAATAATACTTTTACTAAATATAAACAATCTGAAGAAGAACGTATCACTTCAAATGAAAATTATAATTTTGTTTCACCTTATAATCAATGCTATATCAACAAAGAATGTGTTCAAAATAATTTAATGAAAAAAGACCAAATTCAACAAATGAAAGATTCTATTATTTATTCTATTAATCAAACAAAAAAAGAAACAGAATCATTACAACAATGGATTTCAAATAATCCACTACCTAAAGATGCATCTCTTATTGATGACTTTAAAAAACAAATAAATAAAGAACAATTGGAACAATTCACAATTCAAAGTAAAATAAAAGCAATGAATGATTTATTAGAAACCTTAGGAGAAGTAGTTGGAAATGAAACAGTTCCAATAGATAAGAGTTTATTAATAATTCGAGGTATTGCTGAAAATAAATTTGAACTTAAAAAACAATTAATGCAATTAAACTATTAGTATTCTTTCATTCTTTTTTTTGAATAAAAGATTAACAAGTTTGATACTCTTTTTAATATCTAAAAGGGATAAATTAATGTTGATACACTTTAAAAATCAAACGGATTGTCTTCATCACCACCTGCAATACATAAATCATCAACTAAAGGTGATGTTGTTTTTCTTTCATATGAACTAAATTTCATATCAACTACAACAACAGAAATATTATCTTTGCTTTTTTGTTTAAATGCTTCATTTCTAATTGCTGCTGCTGCAATAGAAACTGTTGGAGATCTTCTAATCATCTTTTCCAGTTCTTTTTCACTATAATAAATTAATTATTTCATTAAAATAAATAATATTATTGCAACACAAACTTTACTGTATCAGCACCATCGCTTGTTATTACAATATGACTCAATCCTTTTTTTACATTAACTGAATATATCTCTGGTTCAAAGGATAATGGAGGATGAAGTTCTCTATCACCTAAACTTCTAGTAATATTAATTATTCCATTCACACGTCTTATTCCATCAATATCTTCTATAGTTCCACCACTTGTTAATATCCTTTTTTCTTCTTGAATATTTCCACAACGATGTGGTACAGTAATTTTATTTATTCCATTATTATCAATTAAATACACTGAACAATCCCCTACATATGCTATTTTAACTATTTCACAGCCTAGATAAAGTACTGTTGCAGTAGTTCCACTTTGTGTTTGTACAACAATCTTCTTTTGTAAATGATTAAATAAATCAATAAAATGAATATCGTCAAGTAATGTATAATTTTTAGTGTCTTGTTTTAATAACGTAGCTGCTATCCGAGCAGCTGAATCTCCATTGTGTCCATCAAACACTCCAATCAAATCTTTATTTCGTTCTAAATGACAAGTAGATATAACATCTTCCATATTTTCTCTTACACCACGTGTTTGAGCAATCCCAATTGCAAAACGAGGTAATGGCTCAATTAACTCCTACTAAATAAGTAATTTATTAAAAATAAAAAACTTATATTTTATTTAATTCATTACTTTGAAGTCATTCAAGATAATTAACAAACAGAATTAAGTGTTTTACCTTCTTTCTTAATAGTACAGTCTGGTTCAATATTTACTTCCCATGTCTCTTCTGGTAATCCAATTTCTGTACCAGATTGAACACACCTTAATGTTGACGTAAATGTTGGTGGTGTTCCTCTGTATATAGCTGGTTTTCTTGATCTTGGGGATGCACTATAAGCCATTCTAGGTGAGCTACTATCAAGTGGTGTTGAAAGAAAATCCGAGAACATTACTTCGATTCCAGATTTGTCTTCTTTTCTTTCTTCAAAGCTTGTATTTTTGGCTCTTCAAATAAACAAAATTAGTTCATATTAATATTTTATTATAAATTATACTATTAATTTTTCTTTCTCTTTCTTTTTGGTTTTTCTCTTTTCTTTTCCTTTGTTAAATTCCTTTATAATGAAAAGACGAACAACTGACGCCAATGATGAAAAACATATTGAAGCCAAAGACGTATCTAAAATTTTAGATGTGCTTTCAAACTCTATTGAAAGAAAAGGATATTGGCATCGGATTGTAAGAAAACTCAAAGAATGTTTAACTGTTTGTTTTTTTTTTGTTTTCTTTTTAATACATTCTTTTTAAAGATAATTTACATGATAAGAAGAAAATGATAACTGATGAAACACAACAACAATATCTGGAAATTGTTGAAAAATTGATAACAAATGAACCAAACGAAAATATTTGTGAAGTGATTAATGACGAAATCTCCTTAATTGAAGCAATGCAATCTTATCACATATCATTTCTTCAATCACAAATTGTTACAAAGTGTAGTCAAATCTTAAAGTACAAACAAATTCTTTCTCAAGATGCCTTTGAATTTGGAAAAGGTGTTACTTCCTCTATTGAAAATATTAAATTAATTTCTGCTTCTCTTAAAAAGGCATATCTAACAAATGAAACTGGAGAGTTTGATAAAACAACAATACTCAGTCAAGAAGTTGTTTCAATGCTTACTTTAACTTTTAAAATTCTCATCAACGAATTAAAAAATAAACCAATGAAAAGAATTTGGGGAAAAATATCAACTAAACCATTTGTTAAAGTATGTGAAGAAAATCCTCAGTTATGGAATGATGAACAAAAAGAGTTACTTTTAGAGTTGTCAGAGATTATTTCAAATGAATATTTAGAAAAACAAAAAGCAAGCTCTTACGATGAAGCATTAACTAAATGGAGTCAAGCTGAAATAAGAATGAATAAATAACAAAAATTTCTTGTTAAATTAGAAGGTCAAAAAGAACTTATAAGTTAGAACTTAAAACACAAACAAAAATGATATCTAAATTTAATTAAACTGAAGAATTAAAACAGTTTTTGAGGGAAAATATTTATTGATAAAGAACTTAGAATTAAAAGTTATATTTAATGAAGTTTGATGCAACAAAATTCTTTGGAAGTCTTGCTGGAGAAATCCAACAAGATATTATTGAAATACTTAATCTAAAATATGAGATTCCAAAAGATGCTAATGTGTTAATAGAACGAATTACTAAAAATGTTTTTTCACATTATCTAAGTTATACTGTTATTGGAATTATTTTTGCAAGTGTTATGTCATTATTTGAACTAGAAAATTTTGCATGTTTATTATTTTTTGTAGGTACATTAGTTTCTTATCTTATAATTGAAGATGTTGATCAATCTATCTTAGAAAAAGCTAAAATTGAGCCAGTTTATGTCTATGGTATTGCTGTAGCAATTTATCTTTTAATTGCTTTACTAGTTGATATTGCTGGGTTTTCATTTTTTGTTTTAATAATTGTTAGTCTCTCTATTATTGGTTTAGCTGGTGTACAAACAAAAGTGAATAAAAATGAACCAACAAGAGAAACACTAACAGTTTCAAAATAAAATGAAATGGTTTTATTTCAACATTTTTGTTTATTTTTTTCTTTAACTCAATAAGAAATAAAAAGATCCAAATAAAAGTATTATTTTTTTTTATATTCTATGGAATATAAAATGGTATTATGTGTTCGAAATGATATATCAATGTCTATCGGTAAAAAATGCTCTCAATGTGCTCATGCAGCTATTGGGTGTTTTCAAAAAGCAATGGAAATTTCACCAGAATGTATTATTGAATGGGAAAATCAAGGAGCAAAGAAAGTAGTTGTTAAAATAGAAGATGTTAAAGAGTTTGAAGTAATGAAGCAAACTTGTGAAGAGTTAGGTATAATATATTATGAAGTAGTTGATGCAGGAAGAACTGAAATAAATCCAGGAACAATAACAGTGTTGGGTGTTGGTCCAGGACCTACAGTATTAATAGACGTAGTTACAGGAGATAAACATTTATTATAATAAAAAGAAAGAAGGAAAAAAATAATAATTGAATGATATTACATACTAAAACAATGAAAAAATCAAAAAAAAAACAATTCTTTTTTTTACTTTCTAAAAAAAACAAAACAAAAGAAGAAAAAATAACTAAAATTCAGTGACTATTCCATGTCATTACTCATACGATATTCTACTTCTTCTAATGCCTCTCCTATTCAAGAACAACAAAAAGCTAAATTACATAAAAGAATAAGGTCGACAGATTCATTAACTAAATGTGCTTTTTATGGTCAAGAACGACCTGTTTTTGTTAATGGTAAAATAATTAAGTCATCAGGAGTTTCATTACCAAAATTATCAAATTCATATTTATTAAAAAGGGGTGGTTCTCCTTTAAAAACAGAAAATGGAAATATACTTGATCAATCAGAAGAGGATGTTTTACTATTTGTTTGTTTTACAGTTAAGATATTTGTTCTAATACTCATTAATTAGAAACAACAATATTCATGTTCAAAACGATTTGATATTGGTACGGCTCAAACAATAGGAAAAAGGGTTTATATGGAAGATACTCTTATGGTCAAAGGTGAGTTATATGATGACATTGATTTTATAGGTGTATTTGATGGGCACAATGGACAAGGGGCTGCAATAAAATCAATGCAAACATTTTATTCATTAATTGATGGATATACAGTACATTCAGATCATGTCAAAGACCATTTATCAAAAGTATTTGAACAAATGCATACTTTAGTTTCTATGTCTACTGAATCAGGGACAACTGCATCGATTCTTCTTATAAGAGAAAATGATGTTATAGTATGTAGATGTGGTGATTCACCAATTTATGTATTAACTACAGATGATGAAATAATGAAAGTAGGTAAAGATCATAATCTTTATGATAAAGATGAAGTTGAAATGATTAAACAAAATGGTGGAAATATTGTAAATGTATCTGGTGTATTACGTGTTAATGGTAAGATTACTATCACTCGTTCAATTGGAGATAAACAATTTCATCCTCCATTGTCTTGTTTGCCATCAATAGACATTATATCATTATCTACTATTAAATCAATACTTGTTGCTAGTGATGGTATTTCAGTTGTTAGTGAGGATTTTCTTAGAGAGATATTATTAGAAGAATTTACAAGTGATATTAAAGCTCAATGTGTAAGAAATAATGCTTTAGAAAAAGATAGTAAAGATAATATTTCAGTTGTTGTTGTTCAGATACGTACTATTATTTAATCAAATAGGGTGTGTTGGTTCTAATGATTGTATTAACTCTTATATTTTTTATCATTTATTCTTCTTCTTTTTTATAATTTGGATCAAATCAAAAAATGGTATTAAAAGAAGTTAATTACAATTCAATTTCCAATCATTTAAATTATTATTTCTTTTAACATATTTAAAATTTAATATTTTTTATATAAATTTTTTATTTATACAAAATTTCTTTTCTATAAATAATAATAATTACTTTTATCTATTTTTATTATTACAAAAAAATTAAATCAAACAAAGAAACCAAAACAACTTCATTATTATCCTCTCTTAGAATCCAATTTTTTCAGCATATT